ACGTTTAACGTTTTACGTTTTACGTTTTACCGTTTTTACGTTTTACGTTTTACGTTTACGTTTACGTTACGTTACGTTACGTTACGTTACGTTACGTTTACGTTTACGTTTACGTTTACGTTTACGTTTACGTTACGTTCGTTACGTTACGTTACGTTACGTACGTAGTAGTAGTAGTAGAGAGAGAGAGAGAGAGAGAGAGAGAGAGAGAGTCATAAGTTTTTACTGCAAATGATGTGCTTTTTCGTCATTTTCTCCTTGGATATGAAGTTTTGTGTGTGTGAGAGAGAGAGAAAAAGAGGGAGTGAGAGAGCTCCTTTCCAACTCGCTTCACCAATAAAGTGAGGCGGAATTACTAGGCCGAGTCGTGTGGACTCAGTCGAGTCTAGAAACAGTGAACCAAAGTACGGGCAATTCAAATACTGATGTCTTGCAAACAATAGGTTATTTTTTGTAGAATTTGTAGGGAGGCACTTTGATGAGTTCTGGCATTCATAAAATGGATGCTCTTAAAATTTCACTACCTAATGCGTTTAGTGTTAAAATCACGATCTCTCTGATTTTTTAAGAAAAGCCATTGTTATTTTGTTTCTTAGAGGATAATGAACAATAAATCACAAGTGAAGGAGATTGCAAGAGACTAGAAATTTGAACATATTGATGCCGTTTCGGGTCGGGGGTTGGATTCAAGTGACTGGGACGTAGGCCCCCGGTAGCTCCAAGTCATTTGCACCGGGACCTGGTCCAGACTCAGGTTTAGAAATGACAACAACAAAAATTTATTTTATATATTATTTGGTATATATATTTATGTATTTTATATATTTTAATCACCGACCCAGCCCAATAGGCTCCATGAGCTGGACCTAGACCTGACTAGGTGGGTCCAAAACATGGACCTAGACCTTGTTTGGTTCGACCGGCCTTATCGTTGAGTCGACCGACCTGATTGCCGCATCTACGGTACAAAGCTATTTTTGAAAAAACTATAAAATTCAAATGGTACAATTTTTACCGAGGCACATGCTACCCTATGAGAAAAAGTTAGAAAATGAAAGTAAGCGAATATTTAAAAATAGTAAATAATAATAAAAGAGTTAATAGCAATGATCAGAAAATTAAAAATACAAAAAAATCTATAAAGGATGGATTATAGAAAAATAATAATATAGGACACAAATATCTCAAAAAAAAAAAAGAAAAGAAAGGTTGATATGAAAATTCTCAATTCATCTTGAAAACTATCAAAATCAACTAAAAACTTAATGTAATTATCTTAAAAACTATTAAAATCATCTAAAACTTTATTCTAACTAATATAGTAGTGTTTTCCAATTTTTCTTTTTTTTTTTTACTGTTCTTCTGATTTTTACCTCAGTATAGGAGGAGGACGCCGTTGTGGAACTGGCCCCAACTCGACCTCAGCCTTAGTGACTCGGCATAGTCCCCTAATGTTGAATCAAGCCAAATGTAAATGGATTATTCCTAGTTTAGCATAATTAATAAAAAATTAAACTACATGGAACTCGTCCTCACAATTTCCGCCAATTATCAAACATTTGAATGATAATTATATACTAAATATATTCCTTAAAGATGGATTTATTTTCATTTACCATGAATAATACCAAATAGAGCAAAGCTATATTGGAGCTGAGTCTTATTATCAAACTTGCATGTGCTTCGCTATCGATCCAAGTGTGCCTCTATCTGCTTCTAGATAATGCCAACTAAAAACAAGCATCATATGGCTTCCTGGTTAGATGGCATTGCCCTTTACACGGTTCTGGATCGAACCACTGCATGGGGTTTCATTTTAGGATTGGGCTCGATATTAGGTGGTCATCATGGTAAAACACCACAATATGACTTCTTGAATTCCATTGTTACTTTTTAATTTTTTAATATTAAACTTGAATATACTTTATTACGGTCCATCATAGTTATTGAATTACATCTAAGACTCGAATTCACCTCTAAAACCTCCCTTCCCAGTCATGGAACATTCTATGTATTCAATAAGTGTTATTTAACCTTGGATGAAAGCCATTATGCCTCTAAGAGTATTTGTTTACAGGGGATGGTTAAATGAAATGCCACTTACCAATTCCCCTTCCCCCCCCCACCGAAAGCTCTTTTGAACTAAATAAACATTAAATTTTAAATGTTTGATTTCATTATTTTTCCTAAATATTGAAAGATTTGCATATTTTTTATTCATTTTATACACCAGTATCAATTATCTCCTAAGGTCTTATTTTTGCATGACTAGCCTCACGAAAATCATCCTCTTGAGTTTGGGCATGGACTAATCTTACAAATTAGCAATGTTGGGTTTATTTATTGTGCTAGGCCTATATCTATGTAATATGGATGCATGTGTTCAAGGTTTTATGTGTATGTCGACTCATAAAAAACACGACATTCATGTCTAATACTTTAAAAGAAATCCATACTTATTTTTCTAGCCATATTCTTGAAATCTCATTATAAAAGTACTTATATATGACTTAAGATCCCACCTTCCTATTTGCGTACTCTTAAGGAAAAGTATATATGCATCTATATTTGCTATAAAAATGCCAAAATCAACTTAAGTTGTTGAATTTGAAGTTGGGTAGCTAAGACTATATCATTTGTCGAGCTCAAAGTTTAAAAGAAATTGTTTTGAATTTTATAACTCACCCCAAGTTGTCGTACTCGCATATGATGCCTTTGAGTTATTGTGACAGCTTTTTACCTAAGGTAAATAGTCTTACAGTATCCAATCCATTTTCTTTTGGGTGAAAATTATATAAGGTGTCCTCCTTAAATAATCAAAGTAAACTACACTTTCAAACTCCATAGGAAGATGTGTTCTAGTGTTGGACACCTTTCGGTAACCTAACAATCTATGTCCATCCCTAATCATAAAATTTAAAGCTCTAAAAATGGTACATATCAAGCATATCAATAAACACTTAAAAGCCTTGAAATGGTCGGTCTAGATAATACGTTACAGGATGCATTATTTTTAAGACTTCAAATCTTCTTCCTTTTTTTTTTGATTTCCATTCATTTATAAGGTCAAAATGATCAATTGGATATTTTTCTAGCATATTAACAATCTTTCTTTGTGGGTTTTTCAAGGTGCACATTACTTCCATGGAATAATGTTGATAATTTATGTAAATTTTTTTTTAAAAAAAGGCCAATACATCAATCTCCAGTAATCAAAGTAAGGTGCTTATCCAAACCCTACCAGATGATGCAGTTCTAGTGCCAAAAACCGTTATAATGGACTGTAAATCATTTCTACCCCTAATTATGAAATACTAAGCTTTAAAAATGGTGCAACTGAGTAGATCTATATACATTAAGAGCATGAACAATCTAAATAGCCCATTAAAAGATGTACTATTTCTAGGATTTGAGATTTTATTTTATTTTAATACCATGCATTGAGATGATCAATTTAAAGATTTTATTTAGTGTCCAAATAACCTTTTGCACTAGGCTTTTGAGGTGCGCCTCACTAAAGTTCACGCTTTACATAAAATTTCCAAATTAACGTCACAAATACGAGCCACTAAATTTTTTATTGCGCTTAAAAATCCCGCTACGCGTAGTGTATTTTGATACTACTTTTATATAAGCCAAAAGATATTCTACTCCCTTAGGAGTATACTGTTTATTTACTCTATCGGGTAAAACCTCAACTAAAATTAGTTTTATAGATTCGTCAATAAAAGAATTTATTTCCCAATGGCACCTTCTAAGCACTTGAAGAAAATAATGTCTCAACATTGAATACAAACCGTCCAATTTTTAACGAGTGAGAACTAAGTGTTAGAAAATTCAAATTTCAAAAATCTTATTGTATATGCTAACTTGAACTTCTATGCAATGTATTATATAAGAAAATTACATAAACTTTTGAACTTCTATGCAATGCATTTTATAAGAAAATTACATGAACTTTTTATGTGTTAAAGTTTCCACGCATGGGACCCTATTTAATTTTGCCTAATACCTTGGGACAATTTTCCCTTATGATGATCTTTTGGTGAATTTTTGTTTGATTTTGAAGGAAAATGCCTAGGTGCGTGAAAATTAGTTTATTTTTCTTTTTATCTTATATTTTTTTTCCAAGATTGATTCAACATTAACCGACCTCATTCTATTGAATATAAAATGAAAAAGAGACCTTAGACTATTTTCATGTAGTTAACTGTAAGGAGCATATTTAGTTGCTCCAAAAAAACTAAATTGATGCATAGGAAGAAAAAAAAGTAACAACGGTTTGAGCATAATAACAGAATTGGTGGGGGATCGTACGTGTAAAACTTTAACAAATGAGAATTCATGTAAATTGCCCTTAGAAAAATTTAGACATTATAAAGGGGGAAGTTTATCAAAGTCCATACATCATTTCAACTATTTGATATTTTACTCTATATTATTTTGATAGATATTAACCATTTTAATGTGTCAGGGCTATTTAACATTTGATAAAAAGAATGTTTAATAACTTAAAAGATGCAGTTTCCAGAAGACCTAGGCTCTATAAAAAGACAAAGTTTTACCGTAACATCATTATCATTGTCTAAGCTTTTTTCCACCTAATTAGGATTGGTTACACGAATCTTGGTCGATCATTATGTTATATTAAGAGTCATAAGTCTTTATATCTTTTCTTATTACTTCCAACTATGTATTTTTGGGCATACCCATTGTCTTTTTTAAGCCTTTCACTTGAACTAACTTACACATCTTAACATATGCTATAGTGGGTATGGGCCAAATGTGACTAGCCCACCTAAGTCTACTTTATCTCATTTTACAACCTATTAGTGCAACACCTAAATTCTCCCGAATGTATTAATTTTGAATTATGTTTATTCTTGTCTTGCTCTTGCTCTTTATCTATCTCAACTATACTTATTATATAGATATGTTGTTTTTCAACCACTCAACATTTTGCCCCATACAGCAAAGCCAGTCTCACAGCAGAACTTTCCCTTTAGCTTCATTAGTATACGACAATCATATAAAACTCTCATTGCACATCTCCATTTCGTCCACCCAGTTCTAATTCTATATGCAACATCTTCTTCAATCTCTTCATTTTCATGTATTATTGATCTAATATATAAAAAATATGCTCTTTTTGTATCTACATTAGTTGTCAATCTTAGTTACTTTTGTTTCTCTTCTGCTAATATTATTAAACTTACATTCCATATACTATGTTTTAATTTGGCTAATTTTAAAATTCTTAGATTTTGGGGCATCCCTCCAAAGTTCTAACTTTGTGCTAAAAAGCTTTGCCTTAAAATCTTCTCCAAAAAATATTCTGGACATGCAAAATTCTTAAGATGGATATATATATATATATTATTATTTTTTATATGTTCCATAAAATGGTTTTAAAATTTAGTTCCACCACCAATTATAAAATTCGTAGTTCAAAAAAGGATACAGATCTTATAGATCCACAAACACTTGAAAACGGATTGCTAAATAATGTGTTACAATATACATTATGTTTAGAGCTTGAAATCCAATTTTCTTGCCACCATAATAATAAAGGTCAATGATCGATTTGAAGGTTTTCTCCCACTAGAATTATAACTTTTAGTGAATTTTGAGGTGATGCTTGTTTTCTTTTTTTTCATAAAATCTTAACCTTATTTTAACCTCTTCTTAATTTAAAATGAGATAAAAAATAATTTGAGAAATTTCCCTTGGGAACTACCACAATTGTATATATTTGGGGTTATTAAACCCAACTAATTTCACACAAGCGTCTTTGAGTCTTGCACAACCATTCTCTCCTCTTGTCCCTCTGGTTTTCCAAGAAAAAATCACTGTTTCCTTCTCTCTCTGTTTATCTCATGCCCTAAATCTCTTGTTCCTTCTCTAAAAATTGACCTGGATTGACGCCATCTCGACCTTCCACGCGGTGACCAGGTGCGCGTCTATCCATTAAACTAAACTAGTTCGTTTGCCGTGTATTTAGTTGTTGTTTTTGCGTATTTTTTTCTAGCGTTAGATTTAAGCTGGTTCTGAACGATCCTGGGGCATGAGAAAAATCTATAAATATCGGAAAGCATGGGTTTTTGTTTCATTGTTCTGATTTATCTAGGGTTTCTGGTTCATGTTGCAGAGTTGCTTCTGGTTTTGTGGGGAATCGTGGTTTGGTCACGATGTTTGGATCGACTAATCGTAAGTGAATTCATACTCCATTCTTCTTTTCTCTTTTTTGGATTGAAATCTACCATTTTTTTACCTCTCTTCCTTTCTGCCAATTGTTTTCAGGTGGTCAGTTTTCTCTCTCTACTTTTCTTGCCGTCTGTGAAAGCTTGCATAGTTTTGAGAACATGCAAACACGTATTTTTGAATTGCCACTCTAACCCATTTACAATTTTCTTGCTTCTTCAATTTATTCTCATATCTGTCTCTCTCTATATGTATCTTCCTCTCTGTCTCTCTCTCCTCTTTCTCTTTCCAATGATTTTGTTTGAATCCTAATCCATGTATTGTCTTTTATTTGTATCATGCATTGTCTTTCACTTGCTTTGCCTCTTAAAAAAGCATTTATTCTTTTTTTTTTCCCTTACAGTCTTGTTCTTTTTGCTTAACATTGTTAGGTTTATGTCTACTTTCTTGATCTTTGCTTTTTGATATTTTACATCTTTGCTTGTGCTATATGTTAATTTAGATGGTCCAATTGTTTAAAGCAATTATTTCAGTCCATACGATCTCAAATGTTGAAAGTTTTTATGATGGTTTCTTGTCAAGCTTTCTGTTTTACATTCCCGTTATTTATTTCGGACCTGATTGAATCTTGTAGGTATTTTATTGCCACATCAATGACTACCTCGTTTCAGTTTCTATCTTATTTGTTTTGCTTCAATGACTGACTCTCTCCTTACATTCTTCCTATCTATTGAACAGCATTTGGGCAGTCATCTAGTAGCCCTTTTGGGAGCCCATCTGTGTTCGGGCAGCCCACAAATGCGAATAACAATCCTTTTGCTCCCAAACCCTTTGGAAGCCCAACGCCATTTGGGTCCCAAACAGGGAGCTCTATATTTGGGGGGACTTCAACTGGTGTATTCGGGGCTACACAGCCTTCTTCACCTTTAGGTTCTACTCCAGCCTTCGGTGCTTCATCTACACCAGCGTTTGGTGCTTCCTCTACACCGGCCTTTGGCAGTTCAACGCCAGCATTTGGGGCTACTTCTACTCCTGCCTTTGGTGCTGGTTCCTCCTCTGCCTTTGGTGGTAAGTGTCATTTCTTTTTTGTTTTTAGATGAACCCCATCTAGCATATAGTTTAAAGCAGCTAATGTTTTTCATATTGGTTTGCTTCTGAAGAAGATTTTCATCTTATTTCGGGGTTATGCATTGGTCTACAAGTATTTACTTTGTTACTGTGCTCAATTTGTTCTTCTGTCCATTTCATTATTCTTGGCAGGTCTTACTTTTTGAAAAATGGAAAAGAAAACACTACAGGAACAGTGTTATGTTTATATTAGCACAATTGAAGAATGTGTTTGCCCACTGTGCTTTTGTTTTATTTTCTTCTATAGTTCTATGCCTCTTGATGATACAGCTATGTTTTGGTTTTGTGCAAATGATTCTGCAGTCTATAATCATGTAGGGATTATATGGATTCCATTTTATTTCCCAATATTTGAATGGAAAATATTTTAAACTAATGATGTGTTTTTTATGCTATATTGAGTGATTGCTTGTAATCTTGTAAATATTATGCTCATGAGGCATATTGCTTATAAGACATATCTCCTGAATCATTTGTTTATTAGCTTATGATTCCATTAATAGGGGATTATATATCCTCTTCTTTCCTCTAGTTCTGGTTTTTATTGAACATAAAGATTTTCCTGTTCTTTTGTTTCTAATGAAGTTGTCTTGATCCTTGCCTTTCTTGTTTATTATTGCTGATTTCACTTTTTTACTTCAGCATGTCCTTGTTATACACACACACACATGTACTGAACTTCCAAATGTTATGTCCATCCGAAAAACAAAACTTATTGTTCTGCTGCATGATGGTTGACAATCGTTCATCAGGGTCATCAATTTTTGGGCAGAAACCTGCCTTCGGCGGCTTTGGATCAAGTCCTAGTCAAACAAGCCCTTTTGGTGGTGCATTTCAACAAACTCAACCAGCTTTTGGAAGTACTCTATTTGGATCAACATCACCTTTTGGTGCATCCAGCCAACCTGCATTTGGTGCTACAGGCACACCGGGCTTTGGTTCGACAACCACACCAGCTTTTGGATCCACAACAACTCCGGCATTTGGAGCCTCAAGTACCCCAGCTTTTGGTGTTTCGAGTTCCCCTGCATTTGGTGCTTCAAGTGCCCCAGCATTTGGTGCATCGAGCACCCCGGTTTTTGGTGGTTCGAGCATTCCAGCTTTTGGCACTTCGAGCACACCTGCTTTTGGCGCTTCAAGCACACCTGCTTTTGGAGCTTCAAGCACACCTGCATTTGGTGCTTCAAGTACCCCTTCCTTTGGTTTTGGTTCCACTCCAGCCTTTGGCCAGACTACATCTACGTTTGGGAGCGCGCCATTTGGAACCACACCAACCTCTTTTGGTGCTCAGAGTTCACCTTTTGGTTAGTCTACTTCTTTTCTTTGATTTTGAAAGTGTTGATTTGGCTATTGTAGAAAGCATTGTGGCTGCTTCTATTGAGAACCCAATTGTCAAGATCTGGAAAGTAAGGTTCTTTTGTGTATTTTCTTAAACATGGTTTTTTCCAAAAATATTTGGGGTACATGGGTAATGATCCTGATGTAGGAGGCGTCGAGTGTGTGGCACCACAGCTATATCTACAGTCTGGAATGTTATGATGTCAGTACTAGGGTTTGCACTTAAGTACCTGGAAATGTTTGAGTACACATTGTGAATCTTGTTTTGCGTGCATGCACACAAAGACACGTTAACACACACACACGTACAATATATATATATATATATATATATATATATATATATATAATAATAAAGAAAAGAAAGAAGAGAGAGAACACTCAGTAGTACGAATAAATAATANATACAGAATGTACTATCTACCTACCCTACCCGTACCGTTACGTAGTATAT